CTATTTCATAAGCGCATGAGAAACGGGGAAGGAAGTAGGGTGGGTCCCCAGACTTAACAAAGGAACTGAAGAAAGCGGGAGAGAGGGGAGGGCCTGAGGTGGGGGGTAGCCAGACAGGGTTCCTAGGGAAAGTGTCTCCCAGCATGGCTGTCACGTACATTATATAGATCCTCCTTTCTGCAACTTGGAAATCAGGAGCTCGGTTTAGGAGCTACTTTCTGTTGGTATTTCCACTGTCCCAGTTAATTAATACACGACACGGCATAAACTACATCCCAGGAAAAAGTTTCAGTTGTCTGGTAAATAGTGCCGTTGTATTCCAGAAAAATGGACCCGTAGCTAAACGTATATTTTAATACAGCTACTCCACTGATAAAATGTGAACAGTGTATAAGCTTTTCAAATCTGTTAGGACTCCAACTAAGCAAGCACCTTTGCATTCCCTTTCCTTTGGTCCTTCTTACACCTCCCCCCACCTTTTTAGTAAGTTATCCTTCTGTCTTTCCTGCAGGACTGTCCTCAGGACTATCGTGATTCTAATCCTCTTAGCTTCCATCCTCCTCTCAGTCCTCCCTCCAAAGGTGACCGCTGAGGCCATCAGACTGAGTTCACTCCCAGCCCAGCTTTGCTTACTCACGCAGCTGCCTCAGCTTCCTAATCTGTCAAACACCAGCTCAGACCGTGTGGGTCAGGAGAGCGCCCCCTAAAGTCACGGTTTGTTCTGAAGAAGGAATACACATCATTGCGGCAAATGCCAACCTTTGGCCAAATGATCCAGTTTATTCTGGGGCTTTCAGAGATTCTCTCCGGTTAAGGTTTTGTCAAGGTGTCTGGTCTAAGAAGAAAGTTCATGTAGTCCCCACACTATTGTCGAGAACCCCATCGGACAATTTGTTAATGTGATAAATATCCTGTGCCTTAGGAGACTTACTGCAGGAAAACAAAGCAAGGTGCATGTCTCATGCATCTCTTTGGCAAAGGAGACCAACCATTCTGGCAATAAACAGAAATTTTTGTGTCTACACTGTACCAAAAAACCTGCATACAAATTCAAAAAGTGCTGAATATAAAATAACACACACACACGCACATACGCACACCCCTTACCAGCCATCAGATTCTGCAAATTTCACCACCTAAATCTTATTTCTCATAGTTACCTCCCTGGTGTAGGCTTACATCTTTCAACGTGACTCACTACGATAGCTTTCTAAGGGTTCCCTCCAAAACTTTCCTCTCCCTCACTCAATTTTTCCTCTAAAGAAATGTGAGAGAGATCTTATGAAGACCACATCTAATTATTCCACTTCCCATCTCTGATGGCTTTCTTTTGCCAGAAAAGCAAGTCTCAACTCCTTAGGTTGGCTTACTGGGTCTTTCATAATAGAAGCCTAACCTCTCCTTCATCCCACTGCCTTCTTTCCCCATGAGTCAACTCATGTGTCTTCCTGCTGGTCCCTCTGCCTAAAACTCTTCCCCATCCCGCCTTTCAGTGACCTTCAGTTATCCTACAAGGTCAAGCTCAAAAGTTCCCATTTGGTAACACATGCTCCCTCCTCTATTGATATAATCATAGAATTAAGATGAGGAGATAGGATGCCTATATAAGAAGTAATTTATTTAAATAATTAATGACTAAATGTTAATCTCACTATCATAATATTTAAAAGAAACAGCCATTTTCTGGCCCCTTCTTAAAGTCCTCACATAATTTTCAACACTTAGGAATAAATGCGGGGTAATTTTGCCTACAGCTAGTTCATAGAAAAGAGGAAAACCAGGTGCTTCCTGAGAAACTTGTGATAATTATACATTTCACTTTTTTCATTTCAGAAACACCCTGGCAAAAGCTCAGAGTGAAGCATTTCTCTAATGGCATGCATTAATTATAATCATGGCAAAACTTAGAAATGTCTCCTCAGGAAGCTCGGAGCCCCTTCAATTTGCAACAAGACCTACCAGCAACCAAAGCTTTATTCTACCAAATTCATGTCTTTCTCTATGCAGTACTACTTCAAAGTAGCTTTCTCATGTTGGCACATAGGTATAAAAAGGGATATGGCATTCCAGAACTGGGGAAGCAATGCAGTTTAGTAAAAAGAATGACTCGATAGGCAACTGGGATTCTAACTCAAATGAATTTTACAGCTATCTCCTGAACCAGCATTGGCCCAGGAACAGTAGATGAGGTAGATGAACCATTTTAAAAACATTAAAAAAAGGAAATCTGTATGTCATTTCAGGCTTTGCTATTGTTATAACAAGAGGAGGAAACGGCAGGCCTGGGTTTACATTAAGTAAACTGTAGTTTCCTCTGTACATGCTGTGTGCTATAACTGAGTTTTCATGAGTAAGAACAGATGACGGCTATTGAAAAGAAAACAAGGGCAGGAAAAAGAAAAATGCTGCACCCACCACATGGACACTGTGAACTCAACGTGCAAGTACAGGGATTGATATACTGAATGCTTAAGACATAAAAGAGTAATATAACCTACCAAATGGTTTTTATTACTAATAAACTATTATAAAAAGTATAAGCATCTAGTATCAAATAATCCATTTAGTGGAGCACCCAATGAATATCAGCTTTGAATATGGAAGCAACTGAAGGGCCCATCAATAGATGACTGGATAAAGAAGATGTGGTACCCGTATATAATCGAATATTACCTGGTCATAAAAAATAATGACATCCAGCTTAGGGAATACAGCGAATAATGCTGTGATAACTATGTATGGTGCCAGGTGGGTGCTGGAGCTACTGGGGAGAATGCTTTGTAAAGTATACGATTGTCTACCTGTGTATATTAGTTTCACACCTGAATCTAATATAAAATAGTCTTGAATGTCAACTGTGATTGAAAAATTAAAAATAAAAACATTTAAAAATAAAGAAAAATAACATTGAGAGCTGATTAGTTCAACTGGTGTCATCCTATAGGAAGGAGAGCGCGGAATGCCTCCCTTTACATTCACCACCAAGGAGAAAAGCTCCTCACCTTTCCTCACTGTCAGCTTCAGTAGGAAAAGCCTACAGAGAAAAGCCCTTGATGCTCATGTTTATGTAGACACCATCTTTCCTCCCAGAAGCACCAACACTTCAGCTGTTAGTGCATCCCTGTTATGACATCATGCGAGAAAACAAACAAACAAAAAAAACCCCTTCGTGTTCTATTTTACAATCTTAAAATGAATGTTTGAAGATGACAGAGTAGATAACATAAGCAGAGTTGCAAATCTCCTACCACTAAATTTCTGTCTCAAGTTAAAAGTCTTTACCATTATTGGCACCAAGTTCATATTCCTATTATGACATATTCAGAGGGTATGTTCTCAATAGCTCTAACTCTAGTATTCTGAATTGAACTAAATATAAGTCAAACACAACACAGGTACCTTTTAAATAAGCATAAAGTTGTATGTGGCCTAAGGCTGATGATTTCTAATCTTGGTAAGATGGTACTCTACTGTTTGTTTGATTTTAAAAGATCTTGCCCTATGCTCAGGTAATCACTGTTCCATTGAATTGAATATGCAATGCATTATAAAATATATCATTCATTTTAAGGGCCAGTTGGAAAGAAAAATGCCACACCTAAACTATAACATGCTTTTATGTCATCATTCATTAAGACTCATCCTGATTTCAGAGATGCTAAAAGGTGGGAGAGATGTGCATCTTGAAATCAATGAAGTATGGCAGATGAAAACTGTTGCTCTTCTAATTAAAATTTATCAAAAGAAATACTGTTTTTGAGAAATTTAAGCCATGGGCTGGGATATTCAAATATGCTAAGGACATAGAAGGGGTCAAGAGTCAGTCTTTGATGTTGTCAACCTTCAGGGTGCTTTTAACACCGTAAACAAGTCCCTAAACTTTTCAATGGTGCCTAGCAAAATGAAGGCTCCCGACGTCTCCATTTGTCAAATCAAACAGTCACCCTTGAAACAGTTCAGTTACGAGGCTCAGAAACTGCGAAGTTATCTGTCCCTTGCGACACCAGTTGCTATGATCTGAAATGACACCGTGAGAGGTGTGGTTACTGCACTAACCAACCTCCTTTCCCGGAACTTGCTCCTCTCCCGCTCAGTGAAAGTCTGGCATTGGTATTGACGGCCTTGGAGCAGAAAAGGCATGAAGCGCTTTTTCCCCCTTGGAAAGGGTGGAAAATAAAATTCCAAGGAAAAACTAAAGTCAGAGAAAGACATGTGTATAAGCACTGAGGAATTTTCCCTTCATGAGCAACTCTGGCTAGCTCAGCACCGAGAGTGAAGTCTTACAAACAACAGCGAGAGTCAACAGACAACAATGTGCAGCAGAAGAAAGTGGCTCCATTGTCTCCCGGCCATGACAGCAGTGGTCTCGGTGCTGAGGCTCAATCTGAATGACTGCTTTCAGGGGAGCCGGGCACAGCGGCCCTTCCCTCCAGTTTCACTATGTGCGAACAATATAGCTCTTGTTGGAACACAAATATTCGTAAGACACTAGGAAAACTCCCTTCTGACTCTCCCGCTGGGTGAGAGCCTCTACAATCGATTCTTCTCATCTTGCCTATTTCTAGGGACTTAGGATACATTTGTTTGATAACTAGAACCACCCCTGTCCTAAACCTAAAAGGTACATGGTTCTTTCAAAATTCATATTCCACAAACTTTCTGATGGGATGAAATTCCCAAAGTCAAACTTGAAAGCCATCCGATCAGGACCATACGCAGACATGCGATCATCGCTGCTTACATGTGTTCTTACATTTCTACACGATTTACTTTTGAGAGGAGTTCTCTTATCAACCCAGTGTCATACACCACTGGACCGGAACTGTCATTTTTACTAAGGAGGATGCCTTTGGGGGTAGGGTAGGGGGTGGGGAACGGGGAACATAAAAAGTCAAACCTTAAGGAATTTAAAATAAAAAGTTCTTTCCTTCAAGCATGCAACCAGGCAGAAACATTTCCCACCCTTTCAAACCTGCACCCCCAAGAGGAAAAGGGCTTACGTGTTCAGATTTGTCCTGTTCCTTTTTGTCCGTCTGCAAAAACTGACAGTTCTCCCTCGCCAGCTTCTGGACCAGCTCGATGCGCCCGATGTCCTCTCTCTCCTGAAGCTTGCACATCACCCCCGCCTTCAGAGTCGGAGAAAAGGCAAAGATGTACTTAAACCCGCAGTCCCAGGACATGACACCGCCGCAGAGTTCACCCTAATGCACGCTCATCTCCTCTGTCGCCCGGATCCAGTCATGGTCTTGGTCAAAAAGCCGGCCTTTCCCAGATTGAAATTGTATGATTTTAATCTAGGAACGCCACTCCAAAAGTCTCAGGGTGGAGAGCATGGATCGGTCTACTTGAAGAGAGCGAGGGCAGAGCAAACTAAATCATTTGCTACTAACGTGTGCTCCTGATACGCCGCTATTTGTTCCTGACAGCCTGTTTCCTGTTACATAAGCAAGGCCTAGCAAGAAGGTTAAAAACTCATGGGAAAGTTAGCCAGGAACCACTCTGGCAAAAAGGGCGAAGTGATACAGAGTTCTAAAAATAACAGGACACAGCCTCCTAATGTTTTAGCTCCACCAGATCATTCCATGTACAAATACACAGTTAACAAGAGCACAAGGATTTTTAAAATTTTTTTCCCCCACAACTGGAAAGTTACTCTGGGTTATTAGCAGAAGATCCCCAATGTTGCATAAAATACAGTGGAAAAGTTTATTAAAAATAAGCTGGAGTCCTGGCTTGTGTGGGTCAGGGGTTAGAGCGTCAGCCTGCACATGGAAGGGTCACGGGCTCACTTTTTGGTCAAGGGTATGCACCTGGGTTGCAGGTTCGATCCTCAGCCCAGGTCGGGGCACGTGCGGGAGGCAATCAATGCATGTGTCTCTCTCATATTGATGTCTTTTTCTCTTTTTCTCTCTCTCTCCCTCACTCCTTCTTAGCCTCCCTTCCTCTCTAAAAATCAGTGGAAAAATATCCTCAGGTGAGGATTAACAAACAAAAAAATCTGAAATAAAGGGCTTAAAATTTCATCAGGGTTTAGAAATGATTCATAAAACATATTTTTTTTATTACCAATTCTGTTGAGTGGCATCAGAGAAATGAGACCACACATGCAAAGCAATGGCTAAATCTTTATTCCCAGGGACAAGGACATCTACTTAATCTAGCAGGTTCTCCGACAATGAGGAAGGAAACCAAAAAAAGTCCATGAAGTGGCCTGAATCACCAACTTCCAGAGGTCAGCAAGTGGAATTCCTCCACCCAAGTCAGAGATTTATATTTACAACATCCTCACAAGAGGTATTCCAGTTCCTGTCCAAGGTTGGACAGGCATCTGTTTATCTTAGGGCAGCCTGTGCACTGTGGAGAGTCAGAGTTCTTGGAAAGTCCCCTTCACACTGGACAAAACTCTCAAACCTCTGAACTTCAACCCATTTAGGCAACTGAAACTGTTACTTATTCAATATGACAATCTTTCAAATATTTAACTACCCATATTTATGATAGCCTCCTTTTAGCATTACGTATATAATATATATATATCATTCATTGACTCATTCTTTCATTTACTCTCACAATAGATTTTATTTGAGCAACAATCATGTGCCAAGATCAACCATAGGTCCCAGGGATATAGTAGTACATTTACTCTCACAATAGATTTTATTTGAGCAACTATCATCTGAGTAGTAATTTGAGCAACAATCATCTGAGTAGTTAACAACAACTACTCAGAGAAATTTCTACAGCAAAATGATGAACATTATTTAAATATTTTGACATTTAAAGGAATTAGTATCTCTTATCTAGAAAGTTCATTTATGTCGACCATCTGTGATTTCTTCTCTCTCCACCCACATCATCCTCAGTTGTAAATACTGTCCTGCCAGTGGAGAGAGCAGGCTGGTGACCCCGCACCTCAGGCCCCTCGCCCTGGGTGTCTGTTCAGTAGAGGGAGGGGTTAGTCCTCATCCCTCTGCTCCTGGTGGGTAAGAGACTGAAGGGCACGTGTGGAGTTGGGGCAGGCTGGAGTGGTGCACAGGAGAAAGCACCATGGAGCACTCTCATTTGGCCGCGGGAACGAGCCTGTTACCTCTTCTCACCAGCACGGGCTCACCAGCAACTGGGCTAAGTTCCCTGAGGCTCCAATTTGAAGAGAGAATCATTTCTTCTGTGTGTGGGTCCCTTATAATATCACCAATGAGAAAAGAGTGGGACTGAGTAGAGGATATTTAAGAAACCTTGAGTATTTGGGGGTTTCTGTGTAACATGAGTTTTTAAGGAACTCGAAACATTCTTCATATCATAAGCTTAGGATTCTACTAGATACAGACTTTTTCTTTCTTAAGGAAATATTTTTATTAGAACCTGATACTTGGGTACACAAATTATGTACTTTAAACACGAAATACTTTTTTAAAAAAAATGGGTTTCAGATTGACTTATTTCATATTGATAATGAAATCATCTGATGATTTAAAAAGGAATACTGTTGTCTTGATCTTCTGGTTTCCACATCATTGCTAGATGCATTTTCACAAGATAATCAGTTCTAAGCAATCCTTACAGAACACTTATTATCAAAAGAGTCTTCTTCATTCCTGGAGAACGTTTAGCCCGGAGAGATGCCTACACATCCTCTGTCATTCTGTAAGGCGGTTCTCTTCAGAAGTGCCACACTAAACCAGAAGTTTTCTGGAGCTCCCTTTCAGAACTCCATAATTTAGTGGTACAAGTCCAAAAACCCATGAATTTATTAAGATAATTTAGGAATGTTGCTCTGGCAGGAGAAGCAAGACAACTAACAGCTTTCGCTCTAGACGTTCACATGACTACTTGATTTATTGATGTGAAATTAATTGTAAACAGTTTACCTTACACTATTAGGCCAGAAAAAAATTAATGTGTAAGCATCAGAAGAGCTATTGAAGAGCCTCACTTCAAGGTCTGCTTTGGAAAAACAAATCTGTGTAGTGTATAATTAAAGCTATTCGTGATTTTCAGTATTTGAGAAGAGAAATGTGTTGAATGTAAATGAAAAGTCTGTTTCCTTTATAAATTGAGTCATAAAAATGTTGGGCTCATATTTCAGTGGCAAAATGAAACTTGGGCAGGATTCCCTTAGGAAAAGCTACTACAATAAATGAACAACCTTTATGACAAAAGGTGAAAGGGCACAGTTCTATGTCTGCAACATGTTCTACATTATTGTACCTTTAAAAATCATTTAGAAAAAACAACATGCAAAAACTGCCAGCCAGGGAAAATCAGGATGGAAGAGTCCGCCTCCCATGAAGCACATTTACAATTACAGAATGCGATTCCATACAAACCTAGGGTATGTGAATGGATTCTTATTATTACGTAATAGATTCATTTCTTTAAAAATTAAATCTTGAACAGAATTTCATAATAAAATGAATAAAAAAATTTTCATAAAAAAACTTTTTGCTCTTCTAAACAAATGGCAGAAAATCCAAATGGCAGAATAAAACACTGATGGGCTGGGATAATATACTATATCACTCAATTGTCTGTACCTATTTCCAACACAGAAAATATTAAGAATTCTTTCCAGGAAAATTCAGAAGACAATTAATAATAATAAGTAACATTATTACTATTATTATTATTATATATTATTAGTAATATATTAGGGAAGCAAGTATTCATTTTCTCAAATTTCTCCAGAGAAAGGAAGAAAACTACGAAAAATTTCTTCCTGATTGGGGTAGAAGAATATCCTCTTTGATAATTGGGAAGGACCAAGGAGCATTCAGAGTGACCCTGCATTTGAGAGAAAGTGTGTTGGCAAGGGCAGGTTCGCAATGCCCAGAGCATCCCTAGGACAGGCCTGGACCACCATGCTGGGCATCTCAGGGCCTCAGAAATCAACCAGTGGCTCCCAGGCCCTCACTGTACAGGTGAGGCAATGCAAGTCCAGGGTGGGTCATTCCTCTGGTCCTCTTCTTTTGTGGAATTACTGGTGTTAACACAGGACGTTGGCTGGAAAGACCCATCCTATACAAACACTATGTGATACTGCAGCCTGCCAGAGCATGCTGGGAGCAGGGGAGAAGGCAGAAACCATGATTACATGGAATTTATTACTGTGATTTCCTTCAAATATTTTCGTAATGTAATATACTCATATACTGAAATTTTCTCTTCTGATGAAACCATATATATAAAAGCTAATATGCAAAGTGTCCCCTCAGGAGTTCGACCAGGAGTTCGACCACTTGCTATGACATGTGCTGACCACCAGGGGATGGCGTGGAGTGAAGGAAGGTCTTGGCCAGCAGCCAGGGAAGGGAGGCCCTGCCTGGCCACGCCCAGGCTGTGCTGTTAGCCGTCTCCTGGGCCTCTCCGTGGGGTGGTCTGCCCCAGGGGTCCTCTCTCCTGTTCCTCACTATTTTCCTTGCTTTCTCTGGGAAGTGGAGTATGTCTCCCTACCTGTGTCTCCCCCATGAATAAAATCATAAATGCGACTTATAGAGCCTTTTTATTTTTGGTGAAATCTCTTTTTATGAGAAGAAGTACTTTATTCCCATAATGTGACTATTTTTCCAAAACACAAAACTTGCACTCTCTCACTTCTCTCAACACAAAGAAAGGGGCCCTGAGGGGCTGTCCTGGGGTTGGTCCTACCTGAGGATCTGGAACACCGTCAGCTTCTGCCACAGGCACGTGCTTGTCACTGCTCTCCTCGTCTTGTTCAATTGCTTAAATAAATAAAAAAGAACAATGTTAGCACATGCAGCATCCTCAGAAAACTGCGTCAGATCATTTTCTAGTAGCACTCGGACAGGGAAAAATTGGTAGGTAGATTCACAACATGTAAATATGGGTACTATTCCTTGGATAGAAAGTTTAACCAGTGGAACTGGGCACTTTTCATATACATCTTATTTATTTATTTATTTATTTATTTATTTATTTATTATATATTTTATTGATTTTTTACAGAGAGGAAGGGAGAGAGATAGAGAGTCAGAAACATCGATGAGAGAGAGACATTGATCAGCTGCCTCCTGCACATCTCCTACTGGGGATGTGCCCGCAACCCAGGTACATGCCCTTGACCGGAATCGAACCTGGGACCTTTGAGTCCGCAGGCCGACGCTCTATCCACTGAGCCAAACCGGTTTCGGCTACATCTCATTTATTAAATCAAGGGCAATGGGAAACTTTGATCTTATTCTCCTTTTCACCAAAACCTATCAAGCAAGACATCATCATGCCAGTTTCATCCTTCACCCAATGGGGAGTTGGGGTGTAGATGAAGGCTTCTATGAAGTCCATGTGAGAATGTCATTTTAATGTGATTTTTTGGCTAAGAGTTTAGTGTTATATAATAAAGGAAGCACAGTATTGTATATTTGGGTTGCTCAATGCACTGTGACCACAAACTTCTGAACCGTGAAGCCTTGAGTCCACCTCATCTCCCACATTCTCCCAGCACCTCCCTATCCAAGTCCTCGTCTCCCTTTCTGTGCTGGTGCAATAACCTCCGACCACAAAGCCCCTGGTTCCAGCCTCTTCCTGATACAATCCAGCTGGGGCATACCTGCTAAAATAACCAATCTCAAAAAATGTAACAAATGCCATGCTTTGGCCTGTGCATTGCTTATCTTATTGAGTCCGAACTCTGTTCATCATTGGAGGCCTACTTTGAACTCTCTAGCTTCCTCCTAATCTCCAACTTCACCCTGACATTCAACACCAAAACATATGGTACCCAACTCTGATGCAGGTGCAGTGATTTCATTATTTTTCTCCTTATACAGCTTGCTCTTCCATTTTAACCAATATTTGTTTAGCCTCTATGATATGCCTGGCACTGGGTTATCCCTGTGAACAAGACAGATACACCACTGACCTCATGAAATACACACACTAGCTGGGGAGATAGCCAGTGAACAATAACCACTACTACAACTAATAACAACAACAGCAACAACAATTGTAAAAAAATACAACAGAATTAAAGATCATGATAAGTGGGAGAATGACAGAAAACCATGTGGGAGAGGTCATCTGGAGAGGAGGCAAGGGGGGTGGGATGCTTCTCAGAAGAAGTGATATTTGGGCTGAGACCTGAAGGCTGAGATGGAGCCACCCATGGCAGGCGTGAGTGATGTGATGAGACAGTCCGGAGAGAGTACAGACCATAGCAAATTCAGATTCTAGCCTGAGGACACGGGGAAGCACTAAGAAATTTAACATTGGGAATTGCATGATTCGACGTATTTTTTTGAAAGTTCTTTTTGCCTTCTTTGTGGAGAACAGACTTATGAGAGTCAAGACAGGAGGCAGAAAGACCAGTTAGGTGACTGTGCTCTCATCCTGGCTGGAGAGGACATAGGCTCAGAGCAGGGAGGGGCAAGGAGCTGAAGAAACATGGAGGATCTGAGTTGTGTTTTTAGACAAAATGGACGCGATTTGCCGATGATTTGATTACAGGGGGTAGGTGGGTTGGGAGTGAGGCGGGGAGAAGAAACCATCAAGGATGACTCCTAAGTAGAATGAGTTATTGCTCATATCCATCATACCATTAATTCTTTTTGTCCTCTCCATAAAAAGCAGACCCAAAAAAGCCCACCCAGACCACAAACATACCAACCCTGCTGCCCGCGAGGTCACACACTGCGCTTCTGGATTCAGTCTTTGCATTGTTTTATATACATTTAAATACGATGCTTTCTGCCCTGTATTTCTAAAAATATCACCTCATGTACCTTTTGCTTTTCCCTGGCTCTTATGCCCGCCTGAACATCGTGCACACAGGATGAGTTCTGCCACCACTGCTGGGATGAACAATTCCTCCCCTAGTGACCAAAATGGCACGGCTTGACTACACCTACTTACTAAGTCCTGCCTTTGGTACCTATTCAGGAAAAAAGAGGGGAGGGAAATTCTGTTAAACTCTGTGGAGACCTAGGGTAACTCCCACCATCTGAGCATCGAAAGGCATGAACAGTGAATGTGGGCAGAAGCTGTTCTGTTTCCAGCAAAAAGTTCCATTCATGCTCATTCAAAGGCCCCCTGTTGCTACTGTGGTCCGATTAGGGGGAAACTTAAGAATAAAGAAAAACACGTTTTCTCTGCAAAACTGGAGGAGAATACAAAGGAAAATATGAAATATAGGATAACACCCTAAAATTCACTCAAAAATGCAATGGGCTGGAGAAGTAAGGAACTCCACCTAGTTAAGTGAACTTAATATAAGAATTCTTTCCTCATCCCATAATGGGAGTAATTTTCTTCGGGGAAGGGGGCAATCTGATATTATACCCATGTGAGACAACTTCAACCACATGAAGTACAAGGAATGACTTGGCACTTAATTTATGCTTCATTTGAATTTTTGTTCCTTCAAGTTTAAGTGTCGATGAAAATCAAATTTTGGATTTTTTGTAGCCTATTAAGTTTATGTTTTTAAAACAACAATACTCTGTGGTAGAGGCATTTCTTTTTCTTACCTTATTATACTCAGAAGTAGGACATGCAGAACAATAACAATGTCAAGATTGAGAGTTAACATTATCTTTTGAGTTTTAAGCAACATTTTTTTTTTGGTTAATCCTCACCGGAGGATACTTTTTCTATTGATTTTTTTTAGAGAGAGTGGAAGGGAGGGAAACAGGGGGAAAGAGAGAGAGAGAGAGAGAGAGAGAGAGAGAGAGAGAGAGAGAGAGAGAGAGAGAGAGAGAGAGAGAGAGAGAGAGAGAGAGAGAGAGAGAGAGAGAGAGAGAGAGAGAGAGAGAGAGAGAGAGAGAGAGAGAGAGAGAGAGAGAGAGAGAGAGAGAGAGAGAGAGAGAGAGAGAGATGGACTGGTTGCCTCCTGCATGCACTCCAACTGGGGGTGGGAAGTAAGGCGTGAACCTGCCACACAGGTATCTGATGTGCCCTTGATCGGGAATCGAACTTATGACCCTTTGGTGCCCTGGCCCCGTGGTTGGCAAACCACGGCTCGCGGGCCACATGCGGCTCTTTGGCCCCTTGAGTGTGGCTCTTCCACAAAATACCACATGTGGGCACGCACGTACAGTGCGATTGAAACTTCGTGGCCCATGCGCAGAAGTTGGTATTTTGTGGAAGAGCCGGTATTTTGTGGAAGATCCACACTCAAGGAGCCAAAGAGCCGCATGTGGCTCGCGAGTCGCAGTTTGCCAACAGCTGCCCTGGCTAACTCTCTAACCACTGAGCACACCAGCCAGGGCTAGGCAAAATTCTCAATACACATAAAGAGAATCAAGGGGAAAGAGATTAGCAAAAAAAGCATACTTGGGAGGAAAACCCAGTCCTATAGCTCTAGCTTCTGCCCAACAACAGTGCTGCATGGTTTTGGTCACATCTTTGAAGGCCTCAATATTTGTTGCCCGGCATTACACTTCGGTTAACAGAGCAAAAATCAGACACACAAGCAAGTTAAGGGACTTGGCAAAGGAAACTCAGCCATGGATCTCAATCAGCATCATGGAGGGACTCTCCAAGGGCTGGTGCACTCTCACCACAGCGACCTCATCATCAAGAGAAGACCTCAGTCTCTTCCAACACAGAGCCATCATTTTCTGGGAAATATTGAAAAATTATGACTCCAAAAATGCATTTTAGCCAGTGGTTCATATATACTAGTTGAGAACAAAAACTTATTATAGTGGCCTTTTTAAGGATTTACGATTTCCCCCACGAAGTCTCACGTGTGAAATACACAGTCAGCTAAAAGGGAGTGCTCTGTGACCCACTAAGGAGGCAGCTTCTCTCTCCGTGTCTCCTGCTGGTGCGGCTCATGTGGTGGGAGGAGGAGGAAGCAGTTATTTAGATTTCCGAGCTGAGTGTTCTTCTTTTATCTGATCAGAATAAGAGTGGGCTGGGAGAGATTTCCTCTGCAAATATTGATTCTGGGACAGTTCCCTCCAGGGGAACACGTACACGGGAATGACAGCTCCTGGGACCTGGGAGGCTCGAAGCCTAACTCTGCCAACACAAACCATTTCCTTATCTCTCAACACACAGAGTCTAAAAGCAAGAAAAGGCCTTTGAAAATAACTCACCACAGCAAAAGTCATAAGCACAAGATCAAAAAGCATATATTTTGAGCAGTGAACATGAGAGCCTACATGAGAACTAAGAGTGTATGTGGATTAATTAGCTCCAATTCACAGAAGAGCCTTAGTTTAAATGTCCCTATTGGTAACTCAGCTGTGAGCAGGGCAGGGAGGGGGCGGGACAGCTGACAGCCTCTAAGAACTAAAGGGCTCACCCGATATCACTTTCTTGTTGCCTTGAGGACAACAGGTATTTTCTCCCTTCCACTTCCTAGAGCGATTGCTAAGAAAGCTCTCCTAATAACCCCACTAATAATATCATTCAAACGCAAAGGGGATCAATGTCCTTTCAAAGTGATGCTTATTGAATTTCTGCCAATCACTTTGTAAAAGTAAGAGCCACACGAACAATGAGACACACAATGATTACAAATCACTGGGGTGACTACAGTTGTTAACAACTGAAATTATTATTTTCAAAATCAACCGAAACTATTTTTTTTTAAATTTACAAGCCAAAAATTTCTGGACAGGCAGTTAGCATTTCGAGTCTCAATGTGAGAAATCAGAAAACATAGTTAAGAAAAATAACTGTTGAGTATTTTGCCAAGAATTAAAGTTTCGTCAATACTACAATCTTTCGCCTGTGCAGCATTTACAGGGAGAAAGCG